CATACCCAGTGCCACCACCTTGGGTTAGGTATGTCTGACTCAGTTCTATTGGTATTAAAAGAACCTTTCAAACTAAGGAGGAAAAAAGATAATTACTCTTTTTCTCACTTAAAACTTTTCAGTGACCTCATTTTAGCTGCAGTGAGGTCAACAGAACTCAAATTAATTAACACAGCTCTTAGGCCATTTGTTCCTTACCTACTCTCCAGTTTCCTTTTGTCACAATACCCACCCACCATCCAGACAAGCTAGATGAGTTGTGTTATTTTTGCCATGCCTTTTTATAAGCTGTCTCTTTTGTTTAGAATGCCCTGGTTAATTACAACTTAATCCTTTTCTTAAAACTTAATTTTATTTTTAATAATTTACTAAGTATACATAGATTTTTAAATAATCATGTAACACTAAAAGATTTCTAACAACAAAGAACGGATTATTGCACCAGATCATAATTTAAAATATTTTTAATAATTTACTAAATATACATAGATTTTTAAATAATCACTAAAAGATTTCTAACAACAAAGAACGGGTTATTGCACCAGACCTTCCTGCCTTTCTACCTCTCTAGAAGTAGCTACTTTTGACTCTTAGGGTTTCTACTGTATTCACCTATGTCCTGTTAAATAATTTACTTGGAATGTCGTTTCTTGACTTGTCAAGTTTAAACTTACCTAGTAAGTTTCTCTTCTCCTATAATTCCAGTATAGTTACTATAGGGGTGATAATCAAAACATTTCAGAACTGACACAGAACAAATATTTATTAATCACAACCAGTTTTCTCACATGGTATATGTGAGCTAATTACTGGCCCTGATTTTGTGAAAATTTTTTGTTAAAATATCAGTATTTACATTATTATTACCATGTAAATATTGTCCACTATTGAAAAAAATAATAAACTATGATTATGTTATCTTGCTTATGCAATTTTTATTTTCCAGAAATTAATTGATGCTTTAAAAAATCATTTATTCCTCATTAAAAACTCACCATAGTTCTCACCTTCTCTACAAAGACTTTGCTGTTAGGCTGAGCTGATTCTCCATCCTGTGTTACTCCTGCATCACCTCTGTCATGCTTATTACACTATACCTTAAAGATTTGTGTGTTTGTCTTTATTGCCAGAATGTGAGTTCCTTGAGTTCTAAGAGCTGTATTAATTAGTTTGAATTCTGTCGACCCCGTTGTAGCTAAAATGGGGTCATTGAAAAGTTTTAACTGAGAAACAACAAAATTATCTGTTATCTTTGAACCTTCAGTGTCTCGTACCAGTACCAAACACATACTGCTTAATAAATATTTGTTCAATTAGGTATGGATGGAACAGGAGTGTCTTTTCTCTCTGAAGCAGCCTTGAATATTGAGCAGATGGTTTTGTGAGCATTTCTCTGATTTCTGAGTTACTTCACACGAATTACAAGCTGAAATGCCTGTCAGGGTCTAGGCAGTTGAAATAAATGAGCACAGAAAGCCTGATGGAGTCTGTGGCATTTCAGGGTGTCACCTGCTATTTATCTCCAAACAGTTGTTGACATGAAAGTGTTTCAAACCTGTGTTGGTTGCCAGACCTTCTACTTTTTCAAGGAAGCAGAAAAATTCAGGTTTAATATGAACTATCTTGATTCAATTTTAAAAACTATGCAGACCAAGAAAATGGTTCTTCAGGCTAGACTTTGTTCATGGCCACCAGCCTATGACATGAAATTGGTTGGGTGGGAGTAGAGAAACAAGGCACACTGCCCCAGTGCCCTGTGCTTGGGGTCTGGTTTACCCTTGGATGCCTTCTCCTCAGGAGTCCTCTCCAGGGTCTCTCCCCAGTGGCATCCTTTCACCAGCTGATACCAGAATGTGGAGTGAGTCTTAGCAGAAGAAAGCCTGGGCACAAGCCCCAGCCTGCCAGAATGTTCAGAGGCCCAAGGAAGGGCTTCAATGGAATCAGAACTCTCTCTGTTAAGTGGAAGTAGAGAATGAGTTAAATTATAAGTGATAGTAGGAAAGACAATAAGTAGACTAAAAACTGTATACTATGTGCCAAGTCATATTTCTTTTCTTATGTTAATTTATTTAATTTTTATAACCTTGAAAAGGAGATATCGTCATCCCCAGTTTGCAGATGTTGAATCTCTATGAGATTTAAAGGTTTCTTCTGTTTATTTTTTTAATTCCCACCATTAGAGCAGATTAACTCCAGAATTAAATCTTCCTGATTCTGCCCATGAAGGAGGCCCATGTAAGGGATTTTTTAAATGCATTAAACCTGTTTTATAACAATAAAAAATTGATTAAAATTTTTCATTATAAATTGATATTGGGAGTTTTGAATTTGAAGATTTTGTTGGTTTGTTTATAGATAAATTTATTTATTCTTTCACCATTTGTTGAAATGAATCCATTATGTTCTATGTTAGATACCAGGATTACAAAGATGAATAATGTAAAATTCTTGTGCTTGAGAAGCCTTAAATGATTGTTTCTGTTTTGTTCTAAGTGAGAAAGGATGGTGCTATGTTTTTGTATGAAAAATATTAAAAATCTAGAAATTTGGTGGCCAAATAGCACTTCTTAAAAATTTGAGACACTCTTTTTTTCTTGTTGCAAAAATCAAAATATGTTAGTGGCAATGTTAGAAAGTGCAAATAAGGAAAATTATGAAAAGTCTTCCCCTAACCAGTGTAGGCAACTCTCTATCTACTTACCCACCTTTTAAACTATCTATCTATATATTTTTTAATATTTATCACACACATGCATGCAGACACTCACATAGATAACCCAACATTTCTGTTCTGTAGCCTGCTTCTCTTAGAAATTAATTAAATGTTTGAAAAATTTTTTTTATGGCTGAATAGCATTTTATTGCATGAAAATAGTTCCATATATAATTAATTCTCTATTTAAGTAAATTTCTATTTTTTTAAATAAACCATGTCATATAGAGAATTTTTATAGCTAACTCTTTTTATGTGTCTTGAAGTATTTCCTTAGGAAAAATTACTAGACATGAAATTACCGGATTTAAGCATTTGTACATTTTTTAAAGCTTTTTGCTTTTAGCACATACAGTGCTAAATTGTCCTCCAAAAAGTAGTATGAATTTACCCATCACCATTGGATTTAAGTGTCCATTACTCTTCATTGTTTCCATGCTACTTGACACTTTTTTAAAAAAGTGTTTCTAATTCAATAGATGGAAAAGAATCTCTATTTGGAAGATTCTTTTTGAAAACTATTGTGGCCTCTGAACTTGCTAGACACTTTTGTTCTCTGATACAGTGTTATCACTTTGTATTATGGCTAATTAGTTGGCTGATTACCTACCTTAGTAGCTTTGGAGCAATTTGGGAGTAGAGCATGTCCTAGCCGCCTGTGTGTTTCTGGATGCTCATGGATATTTGTTGAACTGAATTGAATTGGAGAACATGTGTAGTTAAACCATTGACTAGATGTATAAATGTCAATATGACCAGTTGGTAAGTTATTCTTTTCCTGCCAGTTGCATAATAGTAAGCTATTTAATCGAGCATTGATTGCATGCCAGTACTGTGTTAAGTACTTTGCATGTTTGCTTGGTTGAACCCTCACAACAATACCCTGAAGAAGAGATAATAATTATCTCCGCTTTGCCAAAGACAAAATTGAGAGGTTATGAAACTTGCCGGGGCACATGGTTGCAAAGCGGCAAAACAGGTCATGAACTCAGAACCAGCTAACTCCCAAACCATCTTATTTCTCCTTGCTGCTCTCCTAAACTTCTTATTATAAACATTTTTTGAATACATATATAAAAGTAGATAAGAAGTACAAATTGGTAGTTACAGAATAGTCATGGAGATGTAAAGTAGTTACAGAATAGTCATGGGGATGTAAAGTACAGCATAAGGAATATAGTCAATAATATTGTAATAACTATGTATTGTGTCAGATGGGTACTAGATTTATGTGGGTGATCATTTCATAAGAATATATATGTATATGTCTATTTACTGTTATGCACCTGAAACTAATATAATATCATATGCCCACTGTAATTTAAAAATTAAAAAATTATTTTTAAAAAAGAGGAGAGAGAACAGCATAGTAAACCTTGATATACCCACCATCTAGCTTCAACAGTTATCAATATGTGGCCAATCTTGTTTTATCTATAACGTTTACTCACTATCTTATATTCCCCTTCCCATGTTGGATTACTTTAAAGCAAACTCAAATACATTGATTTTATTAATAAATATTTAAATATCAATCTCTAAGAGATATAGACTGTTTTATAACCTAAACTACAATATCGTTATCACACTTTATCTATAATAATTCTTTAATATTGTATAATGTCCAGTCAGTGTCAGGTTTCCTTGATAATTTCATAAGTGCTTTTTTTCAGTTGGTTTGTTTGAACCAGGTTTAGGTAAAAACTACACATGTGTTCCAAATTATTCTAACCATAACATAATATTCCTCTCTCCCCCATAGTCTTCCACAAAGACTGTCCTTCTCAGAGACAAAGATAAGTAGTTGGAGGAACCCAAAATTTTAAAATAATTCCTATGACTTGAAAATCTAGTTCTCATCTTTCCAGAAGGAAGGACACAATAGTTAATACCTGAAAAACATTGGGTCTGTGTGGAATGGAAAAAGTATTTGCCATATGGAATCATGATCCATCCTCCCTGGATGTTTTTCAGTGTATTTATCCAGTGGCTGAGAACTCCTTCTGCTTTCTGTTTGTATGGTAAGGTTCCATCACAAGTTATGGTTAAGTTTCCTCACTTAAGGTGCATAGTTAAACGTAAATGATGCTGGCCTGCAAATTTTGTCTGTAGCACTGAACTTAAAATATGAGACATGCCAACCTTTGTACCTTCCCTTGCTGTGGGAGAATGACTTGGAAATGGAACTTGTTATTTTTATAAATGGGTCAAAACTTTGATAGAGTATTTCACGTTGAGGAAATTTTTAAGTTTTCATGTTTGTTGTTGTTCTATTTTGAACTTCAAGGCCCAGTGATCCTCCATTGTGTTGTGGCAGATGGAAATTCAACCAGAAGTCCTGAAAATGACCTTCTCTGTGGAGATGCTGGAGAAAACTGTGCAGGTATTGCTTAAATTAACAAGTGATGCATTTATATTCCATCAGCTTCATATTTAATCTTGGAAACTTGTTTCCCTAAGTTTAATTTTTTGATAATATTCTAATCTTATAACTAGGTAGTTTTTTGAGCGCCTACTAATGTACCAGGCACTGTGCTAAGTGCTTTATGTATAATAATTCATTCACTCTTTAAAAGAGCCCTATGAGCTGGATAATACTTTTTACTTTATTTCAAGGTGAAGATTACACAGCTGGTAAATAACAAATCCAGTATTCACACTCAAGTCTTTCTGATTCTAGTGCTTCCATTTTTAATTATGACACCACTTTAGGTGCCACAGATGTGTGCTCCAGACCCTAGCATGTGCTATCTTGGACCAGATTTGTAGAAAGTTGGCATATTGTATTCAAATTTTTTTTTTCCTTAACTTAAAAGATGGGAAAATCAATAATTTTTACATATTTTACCTTGGAGATTCTTGAATTAGTATTCTCAAAGTTATTAGTCTAAGGCAGGGGTCTGTCTTCGTAAAAGACCAGATAATAAGTATTTTAGGCTTTGTGGGCCATACAGTCTTTGTTGCAGCTACTCAACTCTGTCATTGTACTGTGAAAGCAACTATAAATATTATGCAAATAAGTGGTCTTGGATGTGTTTCAATAAAACTTTATTTAGATAAACCGGTTCGGTTATGGGCCAGATTTGGCCCTTGGGCCGTAGTTTGCTGACCCCTGGTCTAAGATTTTGTCTGTCCTTTATAGATTGTATGGTCTGGTCTTCTACACAGGTTGTTTCTGATTTAAAACAAAACAAAACAAAACAGAGACCAATTCCAAAAGTAGGGTGGAGTGGAGAAGAGCCTCCTGTTTTCCCTGGAAACTTTTTCAAGTTGGGAGTGTGGTGACTTGGTGGTAAGTGCTCCTTTCTTAACACCCTGTAACTGAGCCAGAAACATGCTGAGCAAGTCATCGTGATGTGAGTCATCAGTTCCAGCCAAGTCTTCCTCTTTTTCCTGACACTAGTGGGTGGTCTGAAGACTGCCCATAGGCTGTGGAATTATTTGTGTCTTAAGTCATGCTTATATGGGTCTTGTCACCCATATAGGAAGAAGAACAAGGCATTTTTTTGTGCTTTTCTTCAGTTGCTTCAAATGTCTTACATGATGGCATTTTCATATTTCCTTTGGGAGATTATTCCATAAACTGACAATTGACAGTGTTAAACAATCTGCCTCATTGTAACCTAAATGTGTTTTCTAATTTTTTTATTATAATAAGAACATTTAACATGAGATTACCCTTTTAACGAATTTTTATACTGTATTATAAACTATAGGCATGATGTTATAGAGCAGATTTCTAGAAATTATTCATTTTTCATAACTGAAAGTTCATACTCATCTAACAACAACTCATTTCCCCCTTCCCCTAGGCCCTGGCAACCACCTTGCTCTCTACTTCTGTGGATTTGGCTATTTAGATACTTTATATATGCAGAATCATATAATATTTGTCAGTCTGTGACTGGTTTATTCCACTTAGCATAACATCCTTCAGGTTTACCCATGTGACATACTGCAGGATTTACTTCTTTTCTAAGACTGAATGATATTCCATTGTATGTATACACCACGTTTCCTTTATCCATTCATCTGTTGATGGGAATTTAGGTTGTTTTCACACCTTGGCTATTGTGAATAATGCTGCAGTATATGTGGGAGTGAAGATATCACTTTGAGAAACTGATTTTAATTCTTTAGGATAACTATCCAGAAGTGAGATATTGCTGGATCATATATTTGTTATATTTTTAATTTTTTGAGTAAACTTTATATTATTTTTGTAGCAACTATAAATTGTTTTTTCAATCTGTTAATTTTTTTTTCTTGCTAGTTTGTTTAAAGTCACACAGTAACCAGTATAGCCTGTGAGGGGATCAGAAAATAATTTTTTCTCACTTTTCTAAGTTTTTCTGGCCGGACTAGCAATCAAATTAACATGAGACAGATTAACAGGAGAAAATGACTAAATTTAATAAGTATGTCCATGTGGAGGTGCCAGAAGAATATGAGACCTGGCAACACAGTGAGCAATTAAGACTTTTGTGTCATTCCGGAGCTAAGGAGAAAGAGAGCTATAGTTTGGAACTTCAAAGGGCAGGAAGAATATTCACATGCACATGGAAAGCAAATGCTTGGTAAATAAATGTTTACTGAGCCATATTTAACAATGGGACACAGAGAAGACTTTGACAAATTGGCCTTGTTTTAGGTACCTCTCTATCACACACTAGTTTCTATTAAACTATAGTTATCTGTGATGATATCTCCCTGCCTGGAGCAGGTTGTCCATCTAAATTCCTTTTAGACAGGTGGCAGGGGATGGTAAAACCTCTTTCTGAGTCCTCTGTTCCTTAATAACTAGTTTAAAATCAATATCCCAAAGTGTATATTTTGGGGTGGCAAAGCTTTGGTCCCCTTCACCCAACATAAATTAGGAGAGAATGTTTCTGGAGTGTGTGTTGTTTGTTAATCATCATGCCAACTGCTAGAATCACATGGGAAGATCAGAATGCTGAGTGTATGAATGAGGGAAATGCTAGAAAGTTATTGCTTGAAGGAAAAGTCCAAATAAGAACTAAAGGTTCATGTGTCTATTGACTGCTGTGTGACCTTGGGCAAGTCACTTAAGTTTTCGAAGGCTTACTTTCTAACCTGTAAAATGAAGAAGTAAATCAAATGATATTTAGGAGCTGCTCCTGTTTCTAAATGATTTTATGATTTTATTTGCAAATAGCCCCAATATCTAAGCATTTTGTTTTTAGTTTGTTGATTTCTTTCTAGAGTAAAACATTTACTCATTCCACCAATATTTTTGAGCACCCACTATGCAGCAGGTTCTGTTCCAGGTACCAAACATGCAGCAATGAACAAAATGGTCAAAGATGAGATCAGAGAGGTAATGGGCAATGTAATGCAGAGCTTTGCCAAGGATGATGAGGCCATCAACTTTATCTATGAATGAGTTTTAATAACATCACTCTGGATTTTGTATGCAGACTAGACAGTTAGGAGGGCAGTCTAGTTAAAGATGGTTGCCATGGAGACTACTTCCAGCCTAGAGATGATGTTGGGCTTAGACCAGGATAGTGGAGATAGAGGGATGATTCTGCATATAATTTGAATACAACCAATAGAATTTCCGAAGAATTGGATGTAAAGTAAAAGAGAAAGAAGTCACGATGACTCCAAGATTTTTGGCCTGAATAACAAAAAGGATGTAGATACCATTTACTGAGGTGAGAAATGATCATCATAGTAAGTGAGGGGGAAATCAGGTGTTCCATTTTGGAAGTGTTAGTTGAAATGCCAGTGAGACATCCAAATGGAGTTAGCATTGAGGAAGGAATCTGGGATGAAAACATAAATTTCGGAATTGTTTCCAGAAACACGTTTAAAGCCAAGAAACACCAAGAAAGGGAGAGGTGAGAGGAGAAGAGATGAGAAAGCATTGAGCCCCAATACATTGCAAAATTTAGAGGTTGAGGGAGCTGAGAAGAACCAGCAAAGGAAAATGAGCAAAGCCTTCACGGGCATAAGAATTCCATGATGTGCACTCTTTAAAAACAAAAGGAAATACAAGTTTTCCTTCTGCTCATTGTTCTTTGCCCACCAGCTATGAGTAATTTTAAATATATGCAAATACACTCACATTTCAACATGAATTCTTTTTTTTTTCCTTGAAAGGTATAGAATGAAAAAGGGCACCTCTAAGTCATTCTATCAGCTCAGAAATGGTTGGCAAGTTAAAAGACATGCTGATCAGATCTGATTGACCCCCTGTGTAAACATATTCTAGTAGCACAGGAGGGTTAACAAGTACACCTGTTAGATCTATTCTGCTTTTCCCAGAGTAACCCACCTTTTCACCTTTCTATAGAAAATGGCCTTGGATGTAAGAGAAAAGGGATTCCTTAAATACAATAAATGTCAAATTTTGCACTTCTTCAAGGGCATCTTAAATTAACTTTCCCCTGTCTCAGAGAACCCATTGGCAAGATAAGAAGGAAATTTAGTTTAAAAAGATAAAACTTTTTTTTACCTCTTGCCTTAAGAAGACTGGAAAATGAGGAAACGCCTACTGGGAAGAAGCCTGAAAGCCAAGGACAGAAGATTGAAAGCCCTACCTCACAGACCGGGAAGAAACTTTTCTACAAACTCTTCTATGAACGTTTAAACTCTTCTTTGCTTCAGCTGTTTCCTTTTTTAGGACAGATATTTTGTGTTGAAAGATAAATTTATACATATTTGTATCCCTTCTTCTTTCTTCTTTTTAACACTTGAGGGATTTCTATCTCAACATTGAGCATGCACTTTTAAATCTCTTTCACTGAGATATGACTACATATCTAACTAGGGGTTTGAGATACTATGAGGCTATAAACATTGTAATGACAATTGCAAAAAAAGTATTGTGATAATAATAATACATGACCATTATAATTGATTTCAGAGTTGCTAATATTAATATCATTTAAAAAATCATTACATGGATTTGTAATGAACTCTATTGGAATATGCAAGTGAAGGTTTTATGAAAAATGAACCTAACATTTCAAATCTGAAGAGTTTTCATCACAAAGGCATCATAAAGCCTGTTTTGTTTTGAGAATAAGAATCATTTACAGTAAAATGGGTTGCCTAATTTATTCGTATATCAAATGGAAGAAAATTTCATATTTAAACAAAATCATTTGTGTGTCTGCTGGATTTCTCCACTTAAGTTTGGCTCAGGAGATCCATCACATCTCATCTAACTGTCCATATGCCCCAAAAGATGACGATTACTTGTCTGTCTGCCCATATTATCAAAGGAAGATGTCCTTACTTCTGATCCTTTTTGCTAAATAGCTCTTAGAATCAGATTTAACATACACAGAACTTCTGTAACTCTTGTGGTTTCTTACTTAATTGGCTTTAGAAACTTTAGAATATGGGGTCTCACGAAGAGATTAAGCTGTGTTACCTGTGGTGCCATCCACTTATGAGATTGTGTTGCAACCTGGCCCACTAGTGGATATAGTTTTCCATTGCAATTCTGTGGGACATTACTCACCTAGAGTAGTATTTTAGTTCTGAGAATGTGGGTTGGAAAAGAGTAAGGTGGGAGGAAAAAAACTCAATTAACCCCAGCACCCCCAGTATCAGGAGGATCTTTAGGCCTATTATATTTTCAAGACCATTCCATTAAAATCTCAAGAAAAAATGATACATAGAACTAAATTTTATTTTGTCACGAAATTAACTTTTCTTTTTTCTTAAGAAACATCCCGTCTACGGCCATGCTACCCTGAACAAGCCCGATCCCGTCTGATCTCGGAAGCTAAGCAGGGATGGGCCTGGTTAGTACTTGAATGGGAGACCCTAGGAAGACCAGGTGCTATAGGCTTCAAAAGTAAAAAAATAAGGGATTGTAAGCTAACAAGTTCCTTGCAATCTGTGAGGTCAACCAAGGGTTGCCTCACCAGAAGAAATCAATATTTAGATAATGGGGGAGTTTTGTCCTTATTCTTTAATAAATCAAAACTCTTAAATTGGAAAGGCCAGATGGTAGACTTCAATTCTTAAACAATTTTGAAGGAAGGAAGGAAAGAAGGAAGGAAGGAAGCTAGGAAGGAAGGAAGCTAGGAAGGAAGGAAGGAAAGGACCAAAGAATGGAGAAAGAAAGAGAGAAAGAAAGAGAGAAAGAAAGAGAGAGAGAGAGAGAAAGAAAAGAAAGAAAGAAAGAAAGAAAGAAAGAAAGAAAGAAAGAAAGAAAGAAAGAAAGAAAGAAAGAAAGAAAGAAAGAAAGAAAGAAAGAAAGAAAGATCCTTGCAATAGAATGGTAGATTTTTATAATCCCCTGATCAATGTCAACAGTACTTGTGTTGGCAGAAAATATTAGATAAATTAATTTGATGAACATTAGCTGTAAGCAACTGGAAATTTCCATGCATTTGCAAAGGGACAATATTGATAAACCTTTTAATTTCCATGAGAGAGGAGAGAGGCTTTCAGGGAGCAGTATGTGTGATGAATTTTTCTTCCAGGTCCTAAAGTGTCATAGAGAAATCACTGGACATTTTCTGCTTGGTGACATGAGAGGGTTTTAAAATCCAAATAATGCTGGGAATATGTAAGAGCATGTTATTTGGCAAAGGTGAGAGCTCCGTGAGCTATTGAAACAGGGCCTGGCAATCTTTTTCCTGGCATGGGTGTCTGCTGCTGGTTGAACAGAATCTGATCAAATCAGTGTATCCAGCAGCTGCTGGTTAAGGCACTTTTTGGGATCATGCTCTGTGTGGTGTTTATGAGAAGGCTGGCTACATTGCA